TTAGTCTCTAAGGTGCCACAAGTACTCCTTTTCTTTTTGCGAATACAGACTAACACGGCTGTTACTCTAAAGACCAAACAAGTTTCTCAAGCCCCATTTCTCTGATACAGTATCTGGAATGCCTGAAGGAAAGTTATGAGGGGTTAGTCTGTGGGAGTAGGGTAAGAGTGAAATCTATTGTACAAGGTTTTAGAGAAGATTATGTATTTTGATATAATAACAGCTATAGTGAACAGTCAATGAGTTAAGCTTCTGTGAAGTGATATGTTTGCATCATTTCAAAAGTGAATTTTGATCCCAGGATAACTTCCCTGTTTAAGGTCTACTATGCAACCGTCATTTTTGTACAATTTCTGATATTTTATTCATCATCTTGTGAGTTCAAAGAGAGAAAGAGGTAGTCAACTTCCTCAAGAATGACTTGAATATGTGTAGAACATATACTATTTTATTCTTAGCAAACCACATTGTATACAGTCTCTCAAATATCAAAATGTTATAGAATGAAAACAGTTGGGTTATGTTCTAGTGTGTTACTCCTGTTTAGATCTAGGTGAATAACTGATTTTTCAGTTTACTGGAAGCTCTGAAAATTTGAAAAAGAAATGTAATTCATCTGGAGGAGGAGAAGGAAGTGATTGTGGTGATGCTTCCTTTGTAATCTTTACCCCAGTGTTTAGGGCACTCGCTTGAGATGCGAGAGACTTGGGTTCAATTCCTTCCTCTGCCTGATGTAGAGTGGAGATTTGAATTTGGGTTTCCCATCTTTCATATGAGTGTTCTAGCCTCTAGGCTAGGCAATATTCTGGACCAGGTTTCTCTCAATCTCGCCTATGGACACTGTTCCACTGTGTATAATTAAATAGTAATTGCAGCAGGGACATTAATTTGGGTCTCCTACCTTCCAGATGACTGCCCTAACACCCAAAATGGAACACCTTTAATAAGAGACACGGAGGGAGACCATCCCAGACTATGCTACAGCCCAGGGATTAGGGCATTCTTTTGCAATGTGAAAAACACAAGTTTAAATACCTGCATCACATCATGCAGAAGGAATAATTAAACCCAATATTCCCACATTCCAGTGGAGTGCCTGTACCACTGGTTATATGGGAGGCAATGCCACTTGAAAAATTTCACCTAGCTCTACTTGTCATTGATATTGATAAAACTGATAGATTGGTATAATGCATGAAGGGTCAGAAGAAGACCAGCACAACATTTGAGTCTTCAAGGCTGGATTTAAATCGGACACAACAGCACATAGGCCTTACCTTGGTCTTTTGCATGGGGGTGAATTTCACGCAACAACATCAGAATATACCTTAATGTTGATTCAATGACATTTTTTACTGTAGATAATCCGCAGAAAGAGTTATTACCAGTATAAAATCACTAATACTACAAGACTCGTTTCAGAGTTAAGGCAAAAGTTGCAGTCTTAACTTACTTGGTTTTAGCTATTACTGTATGTACAGTGCACTAATTAACTGAGGAATGATTTTTTTGAGTTTAATTTTACAGGATGAGCTAATCTGTGTCATGACATTGTGACTACGTTATGCTGTGATACAACACACATCACTGAAAAAGATCACTACATTATGATGTAGAGTGATGAAGTTTCATAAAAGTCTCATACAATGTTATGGCATGGTGATATGTTGCTGGCCCAGTTTCAATTTAATGAAGTTAAAGTTGTTCTTCAAACTATTAAAATATTATTGTTGACACTGAGGTATGGCAGAAAATGAGATGTTGGATATTATTTTTCCCTGGAAAGGCAAAAAGCATATTATAGAAAGTTTAATTTGAGAGGCAGGCAGAATCACACCCACCATCCCTTTGGTGCTGATAACCTTCTGCTCTCTACTATTGAATATAAAGTTAACATTTAATGATACCAGAAGCAGCTGTTTCTGTTACTTCAGCTGCATGTCAACTCCTTTTCACTTTACTAAAAAGTTGTAAATTCTTTAAAAGGATAACACTGTCAGCTGCTATATTTGTATCACATAGTCAGTATTCATTGGCAAGGGAACCCTGATGTAACCTTTAAGTTGGTTGTATGCATCTTGGTACATCTTGTTACAAATAAAATGGAGATGTTTTTTTCATGAGTTATAGAAACTAAGGCAAGATCACAGGTCATGAAAAACTGATGCGAACGAAAAAGAGAATTTTGAGGGACTGTTCTGGAGAGTATTGTCAGCTGTCACCAGAATTATAACTCCCATTCGACCCTAGCTCAACTCACGCAATATTGAACTGTCTCTAAATGGTTTTAAACCTCAAACAAATTAATTACATATCACCACTGATTTCTAAGGGTCTAATATTAAGAACTTGCAAATATACAGATGAAGGATTTCCAACTCATTAAATTATGTTCTTGTTTGTGGCTAAAGATGACTCAAGGTTCTCTAGAAACATTTTGTTTCCTGATGGCGCACCAGTTTTAAGGAGGCTTAAATGTAAACAGTATTTTCAACCTAAATCCAAATTTGCTGTTGTATTAACTTGAAAATGAAGATATCTCATGGAAAAAGGGTCTCTTTGGTCTGCCTGCTGACCCTTCACTGAAGGATAGTTAGACTTTTATTTAAAAGTAGCGTATTCTGTCTAAGGACTGATCCTACAATGAAAGGCACACAGGGAGAATCCTTTGCCCAGTTACAGCCCCACTGAAATATATGGTCAAATAATCATTTCCTGACCGTAGGTATACAGTTTATTGAAATTATCCTGCACACAGAAATTTGCCTGCAGACATGTCATTGCATGATCGGGGCCTTATTGTCTGATACCCAGTAAGGAAACTGAAGTTGAGAAGAATGACAAAAATAATAGTAATGAAGAATTGCATTTTTTCCCTTCCTGGAATATTACAGAACAGTGCTTAAACTAACGCAGTCCAAAAAGTTCTCCTTTGCTTCAAGATACTTTAACTGGATTTGTTTCAGTCTGCTTTCCAAGCTCATCAAAAGAAAGAATACAGTCCTGGAATGCTTGCTTCCGTTGATGGCCATATATTTATATGTGATTGCAGTATTTTCTTATTCATGTACAACAAATGAATGCAAGGAGAACTGAAATATTTTCATTTAGTTTCATCTTCTGAGCAATGTAACTGTGAAGCAGGGAGGCTATCTGTTGTACAATTTATTGATCTTTTTTGTTGTCCCTCTTTTTTGTTGATTCAAAATGCTTTAAGTACATGAGACTTGCTAGCAGAAATTCAGTTTAAATTGTACACTAAAGGAAATTATTACTTGCCCATTGTTTCATCTAAGCAGAAATCTGAAAACAGCTACTTATGACCTGGCCTCTGAGTTCAGAAAGACATAAGCAAGCTTGCGAAATATTATATATATTTTAAAAAGTAATTTATCCACATTTTGCATATTCTCTGATTTGTGTATAGAGGATGAATATCTCTCTATGTACTCTTAGCTAAATTTAAGTGTTTAACCTTTACTTAACTGAAGTTATTGGCCCCTTGTATGTTTGTGGTTGACATCTTGCATGTGCACAATCCCCTTTAGAGTTAATGGGAGTGTGAGATATACACTCCCATTAACTCTAAAGGGGATTGTGCACACATACACATGAAGGGGGTGGGTATAGAATGCAATCTTGTCATCTCTATTTCTTTCAGTGTTTTACTTCTTGCCAAAAGGTAAGTTAATAAATAAAAAGAACAATGATACTTAATAAAGTGTTTTATTCCTGGGGGAATTCTGCACCAAAATATTAAAAATTCTGCGCACAATATTTTAAAATTCTGTGAATTCTATTTGTCACAATAACACTATATAATCATGCCAGTTTCAATTATTTTGGTAATTTATTTCAAAGTACCTGTCAACAAGTATGTCTGTAATCATAAAGACACACAAAAAAATTCCCCCAGGAGTAGAGGGTAAAGGAAACCCCTAAAACAACCCAGATCCTGTTTCTCTGCCCCCCCGGCCCAGACACTCACATCCTGCCCCTCCCAGAGTCCAGCTGCTGCCCCCTCCTCAGCCCAGACACTCACATCCCCTACCCTCCAGAGCCGAGGGAACCAGAGGGAGAAACAGCCTGATGCTGGCTTTAAAAATATGGTCTGAACCATATGTTGCAAACAAATAGATGTAGTTTAATTTATTAGTTATTTATATTAAACCATTTCACCATGGGCCACAGTAAATATATGCTCGACCCAACACTTGTATTCCTTGTATTTCTATCCCTACAAACAAGCAAGCTAAAAAGAAAATATATATTTCCTTCCACAGTCAAGAATGTTGCTTACTAAAGTTAATATTTTTGAGGGAGAATGCTACTGACTGGTTGCATAATAGGCATGGAACATGCTTTCATAACAACTACTGGACTGATTGCTTTTGGATACATAATATCAGAGGTCCAAAATACTCACCATGCTGCTATGAACTTTGAAAGAGTCCAAAAGCCTAAGGAATGTGTTACTTCTGGCTGAAATTCCCCCAGTGCAGAAGGGTCCATATGCCTTTTAAATTCCGTTAAGTCTGAGGAACAGATTTTGGTGTTACATACAGGCAATAAGTATTTTCAGTAGGGAATAAGCAGCCCAGGTGAATTTTTAAGAAATAAAGATGCAAACCCTGTTTTCTTTTTCAGTGTCTTGTGTAGTCATTTACACCAGTGCAAAATGGGTGTAAAAATGTTAGCAAATCATAGTACTCCATCGGATCAGTAGTAGCATTTGATATATACTTTTCACTCACTTTGCAGTGTTATGAATGATTATAGGCCATTTTATACCATGAGCTGTTAAACAGAATTTCTCAAGGATTTCAGTGGAAACATCTGCTCAAGAACTAATGGTGCAATATTGAGTTAGGCACCAGTTGTGCCTAAAAATACCACCTCTGCCTTAGATTTTACATTCTCTCTACAATCTGTAATTACTTTTCAAACTAAAATCACAAATGCTTTATGGTCACAAGTCATCCTGCTTTATTAATTCTTAGATCTGAGCCTGTGCTGCACAAGGAGAGACACATCACTTCAAAGAACTCCAGCTGATACAAAGCCTGAAAATTTCGAAGGCATTACTCCTTTGAAGTCCTGCAAGACATGTATGTAACTGTGGTCATCTTCTTGTCTCTCTTTTAGGATATGATATTTGTAGCTCTCAGAAGGTCTGCTTACACATATAAGTAAAACTCTTGTGCTTTACAAAGCACATATCCTTAGACCTATGAAAAACTAATAGTTTAAAAATGGTATAAAAATCATCCAACAATAGTATGATTTTTCTAAATTTCCTATACCTATTTTCTTTCTTTAAATAAAACATGAGAAGTAGATCAGATGTCCTTTAACTTCTCAGTGCAGTGGGGTAAAAATATGAATAGCATTCTTTGCAGATGACACTAAATTGGGAGGAGAGGTAGATACGCTGGAGGGTAGGGATAGGATACAGAGGGACCTAGACAAGTTAGAGGATTAGGCCAAAAAAAATCTGATGAGGTTCAACAAGGACAAGTACAGAGTCCTGCACTTAGGACTGTAAGTGTCTCACGCACCGCTACAGACTAGGGACTGAATGGCTAGGCAGCAGTTCTGCAGAGAAGGACCTAGGGGTTACAGTGGACGAGAAGCTGGATGTGAGTCAACAGTGTGCCGTTGTTGCCAAGAAGATCAATGGCATATTGGGCTGCATTAGTAGAAACATTGCCAGCAGATCGAGGGATGTGATTGTTCCCCTCTATTCGACATTGGTGTGGCCTCATCTGGAGTACTGCGTCCAGTTTTGGGCCCCACACTACAAGAAGGATGTTGACAAATTGGAGAGAGAGTCCAGTGGAGGGCAACAAAAATGATTAGGGGAGAGGGAACTGGGATTGTTTAGTCTGCGGAAGAGAAGAATGAGGAGGGATTTGATAGCTGCTTTCAACTACCTGAAAGGGGGTTCCAAAGAGGATGGCTCTAGACTGTTCTCAGTGGTACCAGATGACAGAATGAGGAGTAATGGTCTCAAATTGCAGTGGGGGAGGTTTAGGTTGGATATTAGGAAAAACTTTTTCACTAGGAGGATGGTGAAACACTGGAATGCATTACCTAGGGAGATGGTGGAATCTCCTTCCTTAGAAGTTTTTAAGGTCAGGCTTGACAAAGCCCTGGCTGGGATGATTTAGTTGGGGATTGGTCCTGCTTTGAGCAGGAGGTTGGACTAGATGACCTCCTAAGGTCCCTTCCAACCCTGATATTCTATGATTTTATTATAACTTTCACTTGTCTTCTCAAAAGCTGGGTGGAATCCTTTATCGGTGTCAGCACTTGGAGGTTTGTAACCACTGAAGATTTTTCCCCCTGTTGTCCCTTCACCCCCCAAATCTCCTCTCACACATGCACACACAGGAAAAAATACTTCTTCTCAAGGCAGAGTCTGGTAATGAATGACCGCTGTGGGGAGTCAACAGTATGGAGGGAAAATATGCTTTAAATTCAGGAGGACACTATGACTCAGTAAATCTAAGATTCAAAGTAATTATCCACTTTCACTAAGTGTTCTTATTTTTAATATCTATTTGGCAACAGTCATTAAATTAGGCAAAGAACTTTGAAGTAGGAATCTTATGAAATAGAACAGGGAGGGAAGGACAGGAATAGGATGCTGGATTTTGGGAATTAAGTGGGCTTTGGAGTTAGCTGCTTGCTCTTCTTTTTGCCTAGGATACAGGCTTCCAATTAATGACTGATGTCTTTGTCCTCATCCATGTTCTTAACTGCTCTGCTCCATTTTTTTTGTTTGACTCAGCCAGCTCAATGCAGGCAGGAATACAGAGGACTTGATCTGTGAAATTCCAGAAGACATCCAAAGGATCAAATGGGCTTTTGAAGTCTTCTGTTGTTTTGTTTCTTGAGAGAAATCATGGTGACCTTCCTGATGCAAATGAGGTATGAGTCATACCTCAATTTCATCTAAATTGCACTTCTCCTAAAAGAAAAAAAAACTCTCTCATGTGGGTCACAGCTTTCACAAATGTTTGGATACTACAGGCAGAGAAATGTAGTTATCCTGGAAACATTCATAAAGTAGTCATTCAGGAAATACGTCCTAAATGTAAGAACACTTGGACAATGGAACAGACTGCCTAGGGAGGTTGTGGAAGCTTTTTCACTGAAGGTTTTAAAAAGGAGGTTGGATTGCTATCCATCTTGGATGGATTAGACACAACAAATCCTGCATCTTGGCAGAGGATTTGACTAGAATGACCCTTGTTGTCCCTTCTAACCTCATGATTCTATAAAAGCATTAGGGCAAAGCTTCCAGCATACTTCTGGTGCAGAAAATAAAGAAGCTGATTTAATTTCTAAATTTGAATTCTCTAAATATGTATGTTTTAAAAGAGAAAAACAACCACTGTCCATGCAAGCCCTTCATGCATTTTCACTCCTCAACCAGTCTGATAGGATTACAAACTCTGCTAATACTCTACATCGTGGTGATGCTAAAGATATATATAAGCATGAAGGTGGGCATTTCTACATGTCATACATGCACTGTGAAAAAGCTGTAACCTTGAGCAATCAAATGGAAAGGAAAAAAAGCCGGGGGGGGGGGGAGAGAGAATGGAGGGAATAAAGAGTGAATTTTTGGACTCGGGCAGTGTAAACATTCATTATTCATCAGAAAAGAACACTAGTTGAAATCCAAGTGGAATTTATTGTTCACATTAAGTGTCAGAGCTACTTGAAGTTAATGTACGCTGATGAAAACCAGTCACATTTCCTCTCTTGGTTTTTAAAAGAACATTCCTTATGCTGCAGTTTTCTGTCTAGTTCTGATCCACCTTCAATGTTGATTCCCTGGGAGAAGCATAGTTTCCCTTCTTATACTCTGGATAAATTACAGATATATTTTAGACCTGCTCAAAGAGGCACAACTATGAGGTTCTTAAGGATAGCTTTCTTTCTTCATTATTCCCCTTTTGTATTTTTTACAGTCAAACATCTCATCATATTTAATAAAAACTGATAATTTGGGTAGTTCGCTAATAAAAGTGTTCTTCAGCTTGAAGGCATTATATTTCTCTCTGTTGGGCTCTTATGTAGACATTTTGGCTCAGATCTTCAAAGATATTTAGATTCCTAATTTACACTGAAATCAAGTTAGGGAGTTACGAGCCTACATATTTTTGATAATCTGGGCCTTTGAGCCTCATTTCTGCACTACATAAAGTCAGGTGTTCTAGTGTGCTCGTCTATACATTTGGATGCTAGCATAGCATTATACTCTGTTGTTCATGCAACAATATGCCAAACATTGTTCTTGGAGAGGTGTTTTATATCAGTATGACCCACTGTAATGTAAATACAATATACTGTGCTAGCCATATTGAAATGGACCACACAGTTTCCTTGTCATCCTCTTATGCTTCCATAGCTGAAATGGATGATGATGGCTAGAAAATTTCTTTCTCTCTGCCCAGCTCCCCCTTTTCAGAGATTGAAATGTCACCTTTTTTGTCCATTATCTCAGAGAAGAGAGATCCCAAGTTCTTTATTTAACCCAAAGCACACCCACCATGCCAGGCAGAAAAGATGAAATAATAAAAAATGAGTATTCCTTAATTAAATTACAAGGTGTCTACTTGACTTTCTGCTCCTCTGCTATAGGCCATGTGTGCCCTTGTCACAGCAAGTTCAACTGGATATCCATGAGGAGGAATAATTAGCAGATGTGCATCAAACACAAACATGAATAAAGATTTAGAAATTCAAAAATAGATTAAGTTAACAAAACTCATAAAGTTCTCTAACCATATGCCAGTAAGTTGTTACCTAAAATTTATTACAGATTCTTATCTTACATTTTGGATTCATATAACTGAGCTAATATTTAGGACAAGAAAGCCCTGGTGTCTTGCTTTCACATTTTAATTCAGACTTCTGGGGCCAGATCCTCAACTGGTGTAAACAGGTAACTATTGACGTCAGTAAAGCTATGCTGTCTTGCATCAGCTGAAGATCTTGCCCTGATTTATAAATCAGAACTATGTTTCCTTTAGTTTTATGTAGTTGTAATGCAAGAACTACTTAGTCAGGCTAGTGGAAACAATGGATATGACACTGGAGCTTGCATTAAAGCTGTTACACCTTAACTGTCCAGTTAACTCATGTCACTGCTCTATGGAAAGTTTGGCCTTTAGCTGGTGTTTAATGTCTCAGTTGCCAACATAAAAGTGTAGGCTATGTAACATAATGTGATATGAAATGTGTGTGAGAAAGAGATACAAGTTGACTACGTATTGTATGTAGCCCTCTGGAAGAACTATTTATATTATTACTATTTATATTAGCTATCCTGGAAACATTCATATTAACATAATATTAAAATATTAACTCAGGTAGCTTTCAACTCTCCCCAGCAAACTGCCAGTTGGTTTTATGTCTGAAGCAATTATAGCTATCCTTCCCCTTTCACTTCAGTCAGTTATCAGTTGTTTAGAACTGCCATTCCATCCATTTTTTCTGGCAGTTTCATTATTCTTCCCTTTACTCTTCTTGGTTCATTGTAATGCAGGGTGGTTTGGATACAGTTAGTACTTCTTCACAGGAATTATTTTGCCAAGTCCTTCCCAAGATTGGTGAATGGTCAAGAAACAAACAAGACAGTAGCAAACTTAATAATGTGGTTACTCTAAATATGTATCATTTGATCACCTTTTATGGGTATTGGAAGAACTATGTGGACATCAATGCTCCAGGAGAAAAGTCAGATAAACTATACTACTAGATATGTAGTGCTGTTATTCCTTCCTTTGAAATTTCATGATAGCTGCTCCCAGTTTATAGAAGATGTCCTGTTCTTGCATGTCATGTTCTTGCATGTTGAAGAAAAACTCTTTCCAAGGGACTATATTAAAAAAGGATTTTATCTATGTCCTTATGGTTAATGTTATCTCTTGTAATAGTCCTTGTTGCAAGTGACAGTCAAGGGCCATACCGAAAGCTTGACTTATTTTTAAATTGTTTTAACAGAGCAAGGAATGTCTTCTTCATCTTTCAAACTTCACCTCCTATAGGGAGCATAAGTTCACTCTCTTGGATACCTACTCTAGTGATCAGC